CTGCATATATAATCGAGGTGTGATATGATGTCTAGTTCGTCCCATCGGTTTGGGCTGTTAAAGTCCAATCCAGTTTGTAGTATTTTTATTATATTTGTTGGTATCTCTATGTCAGTTTTGTTTAGCACTAAGTTATCTTTCCACTTTTTGATTTCTCTGGATCCCGAGTATTCAAATCTTTTGCTTAGCCGTGTAATTTTCTTATCTTCATAATTATCCAATTTTTCTTTTTCAGATCTTTCTAAGTTAATATCTTGTTTAATATCTAGTTTCTTGAGTTTCTTTTTTATTATGGTAATTGCTATATATTTATATTTAATTGCTGCCTTTAATATTTTTAGATTGATTATATTTATTTCTCTATTGGGTATGACTTTTTCAATAGTTTTCGGTAGTAATAAAGTTTTGAGCACTCGCTTTTCTCTAATATGTGTCTTAAAGCAATTAATGTCAATAAGAAGTCTCTGTATCTCACCTTCCCTTCTTTGTGCGTACTCTGCAATGTCCATTTGCTTGTCTGCTAGTGTCTGCTCCATCATGGTGTTCTCTTTAGGTCTTTGTGATAGAAGAAAACACACCTCAACGAACTGCAAACTAAATTCATATTAAACGGCTATCCAAAACAAATAATAAATAACTGGGAAAGTAAAATTGACAATAAAAGGCTGGAAAATAAACAAAACAAAGATAAAAACAGAGTAAGATACATATCCTTCCCCTACATTTGTAGCTTCTTTGAACAGGTAAACAAGTTTTGACAAAATAAATATAAAGCTAGCTCCAACCTATAACAACTTGTAAAAAAAGAATCCAGAAGGCTGAACCTGGCATAAATAAACAACCAGACAAATACAACACTACCGAAGTCGTCTATAAAATACCATGCACGTGCGAACTGCCAAAAGTATACATTGGAGAAACAAAACAAAAATTAGAAACAAAATTAAAAGAACACATCGCAGATCTGAAGTATAATAAAATCAACTCTGTTTTTTACAAACATTACACAACCCACAACTGCAAAATAGATAAGAATGATGTTATAATAGTGCACAGGAAAAAAATTGGTACAAAAGAAAATTTAAGGAAAGTTACGAAATTACTACAGACAAAAATAATATTAACAAGAATCTAAGCATTGACATTCATAAAAACTGGCTACAACTATTGAAATAGAATGTTTATAAAGTCGCAGGCGAGGCTGTGTGTGGCACTCAGAGAGTGAGACGTTACAAGTTACGAGGCATGTGGGGAGCCCTTCAAGTAGGAAGGGAAGGGAAGGGAAGGGGAGTGGGAAGTACAGAAGGTGCCTGACAGATACTGTATACGCAAGATACAACCTATCTATGTAACTGACTGAAGAGGGACGAAAGCCCGAAATGCGTATCTGTATGAATTAAAAGTGGATGATGAAATTATTTGCCAAGTGTTGATAAATTCACCAAGTTGTGACATTGAACCAGAAGAAACAAGAAGACGACGACATGGTTTCGACAAATAAATAAAACAAGTTACCTCCACTTGCTCAAGAAATAAGACAGATATGGAGGATGGATAAGGTATTTATTGTGCCTGTTGTCCTCTCTTCTACTGGTGCTATACCACATACAGTACACAAAAGTCTAGAAACATTAAACCTTAATAAAAATATATACATGGCACTACAGAAAGCTTGCAATATTGAACACATGTCACATAGTTCAGAAGTTTCTAGATGTTGACACACACACCAATAACCAGCTTAATGTTACACTTGTTTGGGTAGCTATGCCTTGACTTTAGTATGGCATAGTACTTGGCACCAGTATCAGCTGAGCATGACATTTACAACATGATGATAATGAAAAAGTCAGTAAAAACTCTAAAAAACAACTGCTTGTTATAAAGAAATTTTGCATTTTTGTAAGAATACCGATTGGGGGGAAGATTTTATTCCCTACTGTCAAGATAGCTCTCAGGTCTACGCATATGTGGGTGGCAGTTTTGAGAAGCAGCAAAAGACAAATGTCTCACAGAGAAACCATTTATTCTGGTCGAAACTGCTTACATATTTTTTTGGCAAAGGTCCTTAAGTTCAAAACTTTGGGTTGTCTTCGGAAGTTGTTTTCGGAGTCAATCTGGTCCTATGCCGGAGGGGTCCCGTGACTGCATCGAGTGTAATGTTCGAGATCTAAAGTGACAACACACGAAAGATGAAAGGAAGCACGACAGCTGGAGGCAAACAAACACAACAGGTAGTCTAGGTGGACGCCCTCTTTTATCCTTGAAATCGGTGTNAACGATACAATAGCCACAATTATTATTTTAAAAAGTTTACGTTAGGCTTAACATCAATGAAAATTCAACACAAAGCGACACATAACGGAGAAAAATTTCAACATGGGATAGGTTAATATATTTTCTCGTACATAATCGGTTATCCAAAAAATAAGTTATCCGAACAACCCCAGTCCCCAATTAATTCGGATAAATGACGCTCTACTGTAATTAAAAATATACAAAGTTTTTATACAAAATACATATAATACACATCTCAAAGCCCAATGAGTTAATATAATATTAAAGAGATGGCACCTAACACTTACCTCTAGTACCAAATTTGTTTGTATTAATTATTTGTTTATAGCCATATTATAGCCCAAATATTTAGGCGATTGTTGGATTATTATATTTTATAACAAAATCTCATAATAGATGGTGCCACATATAATTTATTTATTTATTATGATTATTAATTAAAAAGTGAATTTTAAAATAAAATCTCATATCAGCCGGGAAAGTTACGCAACTCATTGCTAGATATTTTCTAAATACTTTTGAGTCTCAATATTTCTTGCTTTTGCAGACACGGTTAATGATATCACTTTGATTTTGGAATTAATATCAAAATTTATGAAGTTAATTAATTTAACAGCCCAATGCTAATAAACTACACTTACACTTAAAATGAACCTATTACCAGCGTGTATCTTATAAAAAATCATCCCACAAACGTTTTTGAACTTTATGAAGTTCTTCTTCAGGTGGAAATGGAATACTTGCAAAAAAATCAAACAGATTTCAAATCAAAAAGTTTGCTGAATTCCACTCCGACGGACATGTGCCGTCATGCGCATGTGTCAATTACTACGGATACTTGTCCAGGAGAAGTTGCCAGGCTGATGATAGGTTGAGCTCTTCTTTTTGATTGATGCATGTATTTTTATGGCTCATTTTATAAATAGCCATAGCTTTTAACCATTTTATTTGCTCAGGGTGGGGAGTGGTTGCGATGATTTTAGCTTTGCCGAGCTCTGCCTCTATGTCCTGGTCTGTTGCATAAATACTTAGGGAGCCTTCCGTGTTGTAGATCAGCTTGGTGTTCTTTTAATCTGGTCTTTAACGAGCGCTTAGTAGAACCAATATAGACAAGATCTTTTTGCCATCTGTTATCCACTAGAGGTATAGAATATACACCATACATTCTGTAGATCTGGGGGGGTCTTTCCTGTTTTTTAGGATGTCTGCTATGGTGGGGCCTCTTCTATAGATTATTTGTACTTGTTGTTTCTTGGCTATTTCTCCATATATTCCTTTAACATATGGGTTGAAGGTGACAGGGAGCCTTGTTTGTTCTTTCTGGTTTTTGGTATCCTTTGTCTGTGCTGTGTTTGTTTGTTCCCTTTGATGATGTTGCCTGATTATACTTTGTATTAAGAAAGGATACCCATATACTCTGCTGCGACTTTTTTAAGATAATCCAATTCTGTGTTCAGAGCTTGCTTTGTAGAGGAGTGGGATATTGCTCTTTTCACCAAGGTTTTGAATGCAGATATTTTATATGAGAATGGGTCACAGGATCCCGTAGGTATGTATATTGGCGTTGCAGTGGGCTTTCGGTAGACAAACGTTTGGATGGTCGAGGCTTCCACTTTGATGGCTATGTCTAGGAAATGGGCTTCTGTGCTGCTTGATTGCTCTATATTTATAACAAGGCCATAGGGGTTGTCGTTGATAGCTTGTATAAAGGCTGTTATGTCAGGTGTCTTCTTCCATAAGATGATTATATCGTCTATGTATCTTCTATAGAGCATAAGGTCAGGGAGAAACATGGGAATGATTTTATTTTCCATTTGCCTGATGACTAACCCGCAGAGCCTGACACTGGGCTACCCATGGGGACGCCTCTTTTTTGCTTATAGACCTTGCCTTTGAAGCTAACGATTGAGTTATAACAAATAAGATGGGCCATTTCGAGTATCTGGTGGTGCAGTGCTTGATCTTGAGTATAATCCAATAAGAAATCCCTGAGGGAGCAAAAGGCCGCTGGGAGCTTTATTGAGGGGTATAGTGATTTGTAGTCNGACAAAATCTACTATTAATAATTATATATAAAATAAGTTTAATATTTTATAAAATTAAGATAACAAATATACAGCCAATTTCTTCTAATCAAGTAATTGTTAATTTCTTTATAAGAATTTTTTTTAGTAAAGGTAGTTATTTCTCTGTTGAGTATAACTTGCCTACTTGGACTTTTTTTTTTAACTATAACTTGTTACATTGAAGGAAGGGAACCTTTATTGTAACCTTAAACTGCAGGTTAAGATTACTATAAAGGCTTTTTAATATGATTTATAGCCTCGCTTGTTGTATGTTCCCTTCCTTCTATATAATAAATCCTATTTAAAAAGAAACTCCAGTATACAAGTTATACTCAACATATAAAATATAGGACTAGAATTATTAAGATCTTAATCTTAATAATTATTTCTCCCCTAGTCCATCTAGAATTAGATAAATTCATGTCATTATACACAGCTTCATTAGCTGAAACTGATACCGATTAATTCTGATACTTAGTTTCAAATTCTAATATTAACAATTAATCATTTGCTACAAATCAAAAAATAACTTCTTTTGATTAACATCTTCATTTCAAAAATAATTATTATATTTTTGAAATAAAGATAATTCTTAAAATAAAATTTTTCGAATTACTTAAAATGAGAAATTCTTACCTGTGGTTCTTCTGGTTCAACTTTACTTTTAACACATGCAGTTAAAGCTTTATTTATTTCAAACAATCCAGATTTTGCTTCTTGAATTTGTTTGTTTACTTCATCTTGTAATTTGGTATTCTCTACTATAAGAGCATCTTTATGACCATCTTTTTCTTTTTGCTTTTTACGCATCATTTCACCCTGCATTTTTTGTAATTTTGCTATTTCTTTTTGAAGTAAAAATAAATGTTTTTTTTTCTCTGCTTTTTTACTTAGAAGTTCTTCAGCAGAAAACATTGAAAAATCAGTTGAGGATTCAATTTTATGCTTGTTTTCATCATCAGAGATAGTTACAAAAGTTGTTTTCCTTGTTTCATTTTCAAGAGGTATAACTTTTAGATTACTATGAGATGGAGTAGTAGTAGTAGTGGTGGTTGCTGTGCATGGAACATGAGATGGAAACTGATTTATATAAGGAAGTGCTTGTTGATAAGTAACAGGAGTATACATATTAAATTGTTGAGGAAAATTAGATGGAAATGTAGATGGGGCAAAAGCAGCAGCTGGATAACTAGGAACAGATATATTAGAAGGAATATTTGGATTAGGATAATATGATTGTTCATTTTGTGTATAGGAAGTAGATCCAATTATATTATCAATGCTAGAACTTTGTGCTTGTGCTGTTACATAATCTGTTAAATGGGTATTATAAGTTTCAGATGAGGAATATGATTTCTCATAATGCTCCCTTTCCCAACATTGTTCCTCATTTTCTTTTAAAATATTAGGACTGTGAACAGGACTACGTCTAGGACTATTTCTTGGACTATGCCATCTGTGGTACCTCTCTCTTTCTCTATGGCATTTTTCCCAATCATCCAGCTCTCTCTTTGGACTTACCTCTCTTCTAGGGCTCCATTTAGTTGGGGAGATATAAGGACTCCTATCATAATAGGATTTTCTAGGACTCCTATTATGATAAGACATTGGAGGACTTCTTTCAAATGATTTTTGTGGGCTATGCAAATACTCTTGATATTTATCCCATTCTGATCTTTCTACAGGACTCCTATTAAGTGATTTATACCGTATATTTTCATTCCATTGTTTTTCTTTCATCCTATCATCTGATAAAAAATTACTTTTTTCTCTTTGTCTTTCATAATAATCCCAGTCATCTCTAATAGGACTATTTTCAAAAGATTCCCATCTTCTACTCTTATAATTAGAAGATTCTGTTTTTGATTTAGAAAACTGAATGAATTCTGCTGGGCTTTTAGACAAATGTGAAATTTCTGAAGGACTATTTGAAAAATAAGAAATTTCAGCAGGACTTCTAGAAATATAAGAAAACTCTGCTTGACTCTCTGGTTTATATTCCTTTTTAATTGAATTATTTTCCCATTTGTGAGAAAGATTAGATTTAGGAGCATAAGCAATATACTTTTCTCTTTCTTTTTCATAATTATGTTCAAACTTTTTCTCAGAACCTTGGAATTTTGAATATTTCTCTTCCAAAATATCCTTCCTTTTACTCATAATTAATTTTTCTTCTATTTTTAAATCATTAAATTCTGAATCATTTCTTTTTTCATTAATTTTTCTTGTTACAGGACTTGGTCGCAAAATTTGAGGGGAGACATTCTCTGATTTCTTCCAATGCTTTTCTGGTATTTTTAATTCTATTGTATCTGACATGTTATATTTTTCTGCCAGAGCTTTTTCTTTTGCTTCACATGTATATTGCATTCCTCGAACTGGGCTAGGAGTAAGAATTCTATGCCTCTTTGCTTGATATATTTTAGTTGAAAAATTACTACTTTCATCACTATTATCATCATCACTCCAATTACTCCTTTTAATGTTTGATTTAATATCTGATTTAATATTGGGTTGATCAGAATTATCTGATTTATTCATTGTTGAAATTATCTCTTCAATATACGGACTGTTTTTTTTATTATTCATATCATCATCGTCGCCATCATCATCATCATCATCATCTCCATATAAAAATTTTTCTTCATCTTCAATGGAACTAAATCCTAATCCAGGAATTGTAGGTAGCTGTTCACTTTCTTCTTTTGGTTTATTTATTACTGGACTTAAAAATATTTCTTGTTTTCCAGACTTTAAGATAGATTTTAAAGGATGTTTATTAATCCCTTTTAAACTGCTTGGATTTCTTTTAGATAACTGTTCAAAACAAGATCTAGAATCTTCATAACCATGTTCTGAAAATGGAGAGGGAGTATGTGTTTCTGGACTATAACATTGAAGTGCTTCTAACGCAGAACTTTTTTCAGATGTGCCTGGATTTTCCAAACCTAATTTTCGTTTCTCAATCATTGCCCTTTCCAATAACTGAGACCTAATATCTTTATTAATATCAGCTTCAAATGTAAATCTTTCTTCTTTTTTAAACTTCTTTTGTGGTAAACTTTCCTCAGCACTATCACTAGCTTTTGAATCATCATCAGAATAAATTGGTAAATCCCTAATTGGGATTTCTTTTTTATTACTTTTTTTCTCTGCTGAATCATCTATTTTTTCAATTTCTTTATGTATCAGCTGTTCCTATAAAAGTAATAAATGTATTTAAATTTTCTTATTTTTGAATACAGTATACATATAAATAATATTGGAATAATGTAGCAATGTTATAAGTAAAAAAAGCATATTTAGGGTATTACATTAAAAAGCTTTAAATATTATTTTTATTGTTAGGTGAATAAATTCTGCATTTTAGATAGATAATAAAAGTTTATATAATGCAGAATTTATAATTTATTATTTTTATTTAACTTATTAATTTTTTACATGCAAATCATAAAATAAGTACAAAAACTAAAAAATATTTTAAAATATACATATTATATAAACGACACACAACAGAAGCTGCCTAATTAATGTAATCACTTGTGTAAACTGGTAATAATAACCAATTGATAAATAATAAATAGAACTAAAATAAAGAAAATTCTAGTTTTATTGACTCTCACATTAAAAAGATATGTTAAGACAATTAAATATACATAACTTGAAGATTTATTAATTATTATTACAGTAGTCCCGAAAACTCAGCACTTGATAACCCAACAGTACAGATAACTCGGTCACACCCTGGCAGGACAAAAAAAAACCCCTAGTTAATTTTCATTATAGACTGCTTTATGCCTCATAAAGTATTTTTCTGAGATCTATCTTATCAGGTAAATTACTGTACACTGTGTATTCATTATTTTCATTTTTATGTAGTAAAGGCTTTATGCCTTCATAAAGTATGTACTTTTCCTTTGTTTAAGAGTATTTGGGCAGTTTATTCTCTGTTCTGTTCTCAAGCAAACAATACATACAAGTACAGTACAGTATTTTCAGAAAAAACACTCGTACTTATTCTTTTTTAACCCCATTCCCAATAACCCGGCATTTTCACAAAATCAGCCACCCTTCTGTTCACATTAGGCCGAGTTTTCGGGACTCTACTGTATTATGTTGTAAATGTCATGCTCAGCTAATACCAGTGACGAGTGCTATGCCAGACTAACATCAAATCATAATTACCCAAACAAGTGTAACATTAAGCTTCTGTGTTATTAGTATATGTGTTGTTGTTATTATTATTATTATTATAATGGGTTTTATGAGTTTTTATAAATTTTTGTCTTGTTTTGGTTACTATGCCGGACCAGAGTCAAGGCATATTAACCAAAACAAGACAAAAATTAAATAAGTGTGTCAGTGTGCATGTCTGTATTCAGGATTTTCCTAACAATATGATATGTATTCAGTATAGTGGCCTTCTGCAATGTGATGTATGTTATACTTTCACAGTGTTTCTGTTCAATTGTAATGTTCCCAGGCTTTTGTGTAGTGTATGTGGTATGACACCTGTAGAGGAGTGAATGACAGGTTCGATAAGCATCCTGTCCATCCTCCACAGATGCCTTATTTCCTGGGCAAGTTCTGTGCACTTGCTAATTTTTTCAGTGCATGTGTTTTGTATATTGTGAATGTTTGGAATGGCTATGTCTACAATGTATTTGCATTTGTCAATGAGTGTGACGTCTGGTCTATTGTGGTAATTTGTTTTATCTGTGATTATGGCTCTGTTGTAACACATTTTATGTGTGTCGTTTTCCAATACTATCTGTGGAATGTATTTATAGTATGGTTTGTGGATGTCTAATAATTTGCATTTCTTTGCAAGCTCTTGGTGTATTGATTGTGTCTATGTAAATAATCTGTCCGTGCCAAGAGCTTGTAACCAGAAATAATGTGTTGTATAGTTTCTGGCATGATGTAACATTTTCTGCATGTATCATTCATGAATGTTGTATCTTTGAGTATATGTTTTTGTAGTTTTTAGTATTTATGACCTCATCCTGTATGGCAATCATGAATCCTTCCATCTCCGAGCTAACTAGCTGTTTGAAGCAGTTTTGTCAACTTATTATTATTATTACAGTAGAGTGTCGTTTATCCAAATCAATTGGGGAATGAGGTTGTTCGGATAACCAATTATGTACGAAAAAATATATTAACCTAGCCCATGTTAAAATTTTTCTCCGTTGCGTGTCGCTTCACATTGAATTTTCGTCGATGTTAAGCCTAACGTAAACTTTTTAAAATAATAATCGTGGCTATTGTATCGTTAAAAATTATTTTTTTATTTTGTACAAACAAAATAAATATATTGAAAAATATAAAAACAATAAAAAATTATACTTCAGAAGTTAATTTAGTATCAAAAACATAAAATATTTGAGTAGCCCAAGACATAGCCAAAGATTGCAGTGCCACAGCACTGGCAAAAATTTAAATTTGCCGACTGGAATTCTTTCAGATAATTGACGTTTCGGATAATCGACGCTCTACTGTATATGAATTGTGTACAATGCACTCTCAATAATCTGAATACCACATAATCCAAAACAATTTTGTTTTGTCATTAAATATTCCAGTCAAAAACAATATGTATTCATAAATTATTTTTTAAAAACATGACAAAATTATAATATATATACTATAAATTTTTGCATAAGTATATGTATTAAATACAGTACAAAAAGGTTTAAAATATGTATTTGTAGTAATTTTATTTTTACTTTCTTGGCTCTGTTATATACAACAGAGGGAAAGTATGGCAAAAGGTCAAAAAAATAACCCCCAAGATTTTTACATTTTTTAACTTAGAACACCTTGAAACATTGAGAAATGCAAAAAAATCCAGGGTAATTTCTGTATGTATAAATGTTGGTGTATGTTTTGGGCACAATTTTGTTCAACCTCGTTGAAGCTTAATAACTTGTGCTCTTTGTCAAAAATTTCTGAAATTTTGCAGAGAGATTTGTTCATTAGAGAAATTGATGCTATTAAATTTTACAGGTTAAAGGTCAATGGGGTAGGGAGACAAATGGGGTCATGTGCCATAACTTGAGTAGGGTTGTACTTAATAATGATTTTACTCATTATTAGCATTTACAATTTTTTATAAAACCCATCTCTACCCTCAAAATTAAGCTTTTTGCCATTTTATTATAATTAAAAATATAAAAAGTTTTTAATAAAATATCATAGCAGATAGCACCACAAAAATTTTAAATTTTGTGGGAAAACTAAGCAACTTATTGCTAGATTTTTTATATACAGCTTTGTTAATCCAACAACTCCCTATAATAATTATTGGTGGTTAGGATTGGTGAGAATGCACTCCACATTTTATATTAAGTATAAAGATCTTTCAAAATTTTTATAAACATTATTAAATGAATAAAGTGGTGAATAATCTGCCAAGTGTTAAATAATGTCACCGTAGTGTGTCTGTAAAAAAAGCAAGGTAAACTACAACACGGTTTCATCAGAATCAAAAAAAAAAAAAACATTATTAATCTAATGTTGCTAATAAATTCCCAATTATAGTCATAAAACATTAACTGAATACAATGCATTCTTGAAAATTATTCAAATATCAGGAATTTGTATCAGGATTTTTATCCTACTATTTCTTATGAGAAAAATTCTAACTTGTTCTTGGTTCCTCCAAATAATGTCTGGAATGTCAAGCATGATTCCACTGACTATCCAAACACCATTGTCAAACTTCTAGGCTTACAGGAAAGTGGCACTGAATGTCTGATGTACACGTTTTGACATTTAAAACTTTGGCCTCAACCTCACTAATAATTTTTTCAAACAACACTTAAAAACTACAAAACATCTATTTACTTATCAATTCAAATTTTAGCATAATATTAAACATTACAAACTTACACACAAAAGTCTCAAGGAATCAGAAAATGTAATGTTTTGTAGGGTAGATTTGCCCAATAGATCATACATAAAACTCAACATTGAACATTTTAAAATACAAAATTATAAAAAGTTCTTAAACAACAAACAGTGTGTCATGAACAGATTAAATTCAAAAGCAGAACAAAACTCAGTATCAAATACGAACAATGTTAAGTAACAACACTGGATGTAAACCCCAAAGGGATGATGATTTCATTAGGGATTGTTAATTTTAACTCCTAGTACAGATTGTTGGTTTGATTATTTTATGATTTCATTTGAGAATTATTTATATAATCTTATTTATTTTTATATATGTAAGTAATTAGTTTTGTTTATTTTTATGCTTTAATGTTGTTTATATTTGATACTAGTGTTTCTCAAATGGGATTCCGGGATCCCAGTTGTTTTTTTAACCCGGGAAATATCCTAGGAAATTTTTCTTATCCCAGGAAATCCCGCAAATTTCTTAAAAATTCACTTTTTTTCTTATTTTGTGTTAAGGTTAAGAAATTTTGCAAATAGAAAGCATAATTATCTCATTCACTGTCAGAATACATTTGTATTTATTAATTTTAAACCTACCTATTAGTTTCTTTTTTAAATTTTTGCTCGTTATGGCATGTCACAAATGGTCGATAATCAATACGTAGCTTATTTGTGGCAGGACTCTGAAAATTCTTTACTTGTCAGAACCTGTA